GAACCAAAGGTTTATCGTCTTGACGTTTCGGAATCATACAAGCTTCCATTGTTAAAGATAATAGTCGCACGAATTGTCACAGTATTAAAGGGTAACATATATATATATACATGAGTGTGTAGTAATCGACAGACATACCATGATGTCAGCAACCTTCATTTGAATGCCCTCGAACAATACGGAACTTTGGTAGGTATCACATCGCCTTATACTATCCAAAAGCAAAGTGAGTTCATCCCTGTCAGTTTGCGTAATCTTTTCGAGTTTTTCCATGGCTGTTTCTTCATTCGCTAGGAGACGCCTGACCAGAGCTGTAGCTTCTTCCAGACTGTTGCAGATGGGTTCTAGGATCTTCGCGAACATCTCCACCAAAGGAATAAACTGGTCCATAAAATCCTCCATGATCGCGTAGTCCTTGAGCGCGTTAGTGATTTTCTGTCTGATAGCCTCTACTTCAACCACATCGTCGCTGTCTGAACGCAGCAGGTCGATGCAATCCAGCACGGCCTTCTCAGAGCCCAAGAACATTGTCAGGAACATAAAGACCCATTCAGGACTAAAAATGGAGTTCATGAAGCCGGTGAAGTCGTCTTTAGTGCCCACATAGCTCTGCAGCTTTTTGACTGCGATTTCATTTTTCTCCAGGGCCTGAACCAGCACTGTAGCCAGCTTTCGATCATCTTTGTAAATAGCCCGTAATTTGGACACAACCATCTTCACTTCATCCGTCGGCATGAGTTTCTGACTCTTTTCCGCACTGCTGCCAGTCGGGGAGACAGGAGTCTTGTTCATAATGTAGGACATCAGACGCGCCTTCTCCTCTTCCCTAGCGGCAACTTAAAGGACAAAAGGTACAAAGCGAATCATCCACTACACGCCTTGACTGCATCAAAGTGTCTCAAAGGATATGGGAAGGCAAAGTTGCTTGTAAAATGTTTTGCTTTAAAGGATATTTGAACCAAATAAATTTTCATAAATTTGCATCCCTTTAAACTTGGTAAGATCCATTTTACCCATCGCTAAGGGGGTAGGGTGGAGTTTGAACGGATAAAAATAACCAAAAAGTATCACTATCAACACAGAATGGTCGTTTAGGGTTAATAAAAGAGGGCTCTATCTTTGAGCTCCACGACAAGAGACCACGCTCGTTCACCTCCTTACACCCGTGTTAGAACTTTTGACGAAATACCTATGTGGTTTCAAACCAAAACAAGGCGAGCCCGTAACTCTGGAATCGGTGAATGAATGTCTACCAATCATGTATGCTGACGATATGATTGTTGGCAATCCAGATAAAAACTCAAACCC